TTGTAATTGAACATTAAAATGTAAGTATTTCTAGGAGATGGACAGTAGCAAGTAAGGTGTCTCACATCGCTAGATGTTGATGGATAAGTCTCCATAATAGAATCTAAGATTCCACAAAGTAAATGGCCCCTGGGCTCCATTTTTCATTTCACTCCATTTTAATTCCTTTAACAATTTAAAGCCAATAGCGTGATGTTCCTCTATTAGCTGATTTTAATTAGCTAGGTGAGGTCTATAGATCACCAGAAAGCAGCAAGGTCCAAGGATTTCTCCCTGCCTGGCTGCTTCTCAAACTGCTGTTTGATAGCTACACGTGTAAGGCATTTCTGGCTTATATGGCCTGAAGGCGCCAGCCCTGCAAATTCACCACTAGCCATGTCTGCCATTAGTTCTTCCCTGATTATAGGGGGAGCACTTGGAGTTTTCTTTTCATGTATCAATCCTTCTTCATGTTGTAATTTTTGGCTCCTTTTCTATCTGAATTTTCTTCTTCTCTATCATTATCCACCACTGTCAGCAACTCATAAAAAACTCATTTACTCACTAAGTTGGACATGTCTGAGTCATTCTTTGGACTGTCAGTGCCCTCTTAATTTGGAGTTAGACTTTCTTTTACATTTTTCTAAGAAATTTATGCAATAAAACAAAATCTAATTGCCCCTGGAGGAGGCATACTACTAAAGGTCATTTTCATCCTTGTTCCTCCTTCACTGCTTTGCCAGGATCATGCTTTTAGCAGGTAGAGCAAAAGCATACCACATGTTCCAGATAAGGAGTGAAATTTGCCCACCAATGATGGTCAAACACTTCATTTACTTTTTTTCATTGTTGTTGCTTAGTTGCGACTGGCTCTCTCAGAGGACCAGGTGGTAATCTGAGTAGATTTAATACCCAGTGTGAGTGATTGCAGTGGATTGGGACTGACTTATAAACTGCCAAGTCTGCTTATTTATCTGCTAATGGATTTCTTTTTGCTTCAGGGGTCTTCTTGCCTATATCAGCATCTATTTTGAATATGGCCAGCTCTAGGAGATAAAAATCCTAGAATACGGTAAGAATCCTACAACATGGTAAAGAATCAGGCATCTAGGAGGTCAGCCACCTGTTTTGCACTTTAACTTGTGTCCCAGCTACAGTTACAAATCCCTGGGCATTCTATAGCACATCAAAGTCATACAACAACCGGAGAGCATATCTACTGTCTGTGTAGATGTTAACTATTTTAACCTTAGCTAGAGTGTAGGTTCTTACTACAGTCACAAATTCTATTTGAGTAGAGTTTGCATTAGGTAGAGGAGCAAATCTTATGGAGTTGTGGAGATCTGTTATGGCAACCTAGAAATCTCCTTCTGAGGTACAGAAGAGGGTGAGATCTTGATCTACAAGAGGAATTTCAGCTGGATTAGGACAAGCAGGAGTTAAAGCTTGTATGGTTGCAACATAATTGTGTTCTTTCACTTTGGGTGGGAGTGAAATGGTAAGATTAAGGTTTTGATAATGATGCATAGTAATTCAAGAGGAAGAAGACAAAAGGATCTCACAAAAGGTAAGGCTAGAAGGTGAAAAATGCTGGGTGTTTTAAGAAAAGAATATAAAGTGTGACCCAGCCTAAAATCATCTGTGGTTGAGCCAATTTTGCTATTGCCATGACTGCTGAGGAGCAAGGAGGAAAAGCTATCCACATGCAGAAGACTGGATCTAGGGTCGTATCTCTCACCAGGTACTAAACTAAAATCAAAATGGATCAAAGATCTAAATATTAGAGAAGAATTAATCTCTTGGAAGATAAAAATGGGTAACACTTTGTTTTGTTTTGTTTTGTTTTGGTACCAGGGATTGAACTCGGGTCCTTGCGCTTGCAAGGCAGGCCACCGAACTGCTGAGCTAAATCCCTGGCCCATAAATGAGTAATACTTTGAAGATACAGGCATAGTCAAGGACTTTCTGAATAGAATCTGAATTGCACAAAACTAACATCAAGAATCAAGCAATGGAATTATATAAAATTAAAAATCTGCACAACAAAGGAAACAACCCATAGAGTTATGAGACAGCCTACAGTATGGGAAAATTTTTTCCATCTACTCCTCAGACAGAGGACTAATATCTAGAATATATAAAGAACTAAAAAATAATTAGATCCTTTAAGACAAAAGATCCAGTCAAGAAGTGGACAACTAAAATGAACAGACACATTTTGGTAAATAAGGAAGGGAGGAGGGGGTGAAGGGAGGACAGTATACCCTCCCTGGAAAAAATGAGAACTAAGACCTGTCAGGTAAAGGTCCAAGAGCCCAATGATGAATGTAACTGTACTGTATACCTAAAATCTACCAATAAACTCAATGAGAAAAAAAAATAGCAAGCCCAGACTTCACTAGTAATGCTTCTACAAATGGACTGCAGGATGTAGGCATAGCTATTCCATTAATTGTTTACTTCTCTACTTGTTTTTTTTAGATCCCATCACGGTATGCATGCCTTTTTGCAATGTGATCTGTCACTTTCCCATCCAAAGTTGGAGACACATATGTGTAAATACAGAATAGTTTCTCTATTGTGAGAAACTGAAATGTAAATAAGGACTAAAAGGTATAATAGATAATGTGAAATAGGAAGAAAGGTGCAAAGGGGAAGGGGAAGTGGGAGGGACAGGGGAAAAGAAAGATGGGAATGGAATTAGTATGAGAAAAAGAAAAAATGGAAACAAAGTCTTTGTAGATAGGGAGGGGTGGAGGGGTTGAAGGGAGAACAGGGGAATGGGGAAAAATAAGAATCAAGATGGATTATGTAAAGGTGCAATTTCCAATGATGAATGTCATTACATTGTATACCTTAAATGTACCATAAAATTAATTATAATAAAGAAAAAATAAAATGAATAGACACTTCACAGAAGAAGGGCAAATGCATGAAAAAGTGATCAAGATTTTTGGTTACTAGAGAAATGCAAGTGAAAACAACACTAACATTCCATCTTAATTTAGAAATAATGGCTACCATAAACAAACAACCTAAATAATAACCAATGCTGGTGAGGCTATTGGGAAAAAGGAACCTTTCTACATGGTTTGTGGGAATGTATACTAGTACAACCGCTATGGAAATCAGTGTGGAGTTTCCTAAGAAACCTAGAAATTCCTCAAAACTAGAAGCTGCATTCAACCCAGCAATTCCCCTGCCTTCTATGTATCTTCCCACAAGAGTTAAAGATATCACATTACAGCGATACACTAATAACCATGTTTATAGCAGCACCACTCCTAACAACCAAATCTTGGAAGAGACCTGCATGTTTATCAACCTATGAATGGACAAAGAAAATGTTGTATTTATATACAACAGAGCACTACTCTGCCATAAAGAAGCATACATTTGAATCATTTGTAGGGAAATGAATGCACCTCGAGAGCACAATGTTATGTGAAATAAATCAGACCTACGAGGTTAAATATCACATGGTTTCTCTTATGTGAGAAATTCAAAGGATAAATAATTTAAAGAGCAAAATGAAAGATAGATAACAAGAAAGAGGGAAACAGATATTTTGTGAAAAGGATGAAGAGATGGTGGAAGGGTGGGTTTGAAGGAGAAGGGGAAATAAAAAAATAAGATGTGTTATATACACGTATGACTTCACCACAGTGAATGTAATCATTATGTACTGCAAACATGTACTAAGAAAAATTTAAACAGATGAAATATTCTGTCTAAGATCTGGCTATCCACAGATAGCTAACCAAGATGCCTACTTTTACCTTGATATTAAACATATTGCTGGAAGCCCTAGCCAGAGCAATTGAGCAAGATAAAGAAAAGAAGTCAAATTGCCACCAATGGTGGCATAGTCTTATGTATAGAAAATCCCTAAAAGTCCACCAAAACTATTAGAACTAATTAAATGTCAGGATACATGTTGATCAAAGCACTATTCAAATAGCCAAAAATGGAAAAAATCTGTCCATGAGCTGATGAGTGGATAAATTGCAATAATGTGCACAGTGGGCTACTATACAGCATAAAAAGAATGAAATCCTGTGACAACACGGATGCAGTTGGAAGACATCATATTAAGTGAAATAAGACAGGCATAGAAAGACAGGTATTGTGTGAACTCACATATACATGGAATCTAAAAAAGTTGTTCTCATAGAAGCTGAGTAGAATGACAATTACCAGGGTCCAGGGACGATACTCTTGGAGAAGGTATGAGGGAAGGTTGATGGAGGGGTGCTAGGATACAATCCGATAGGAGGAAGAACTCCTGGGGCATTGCACAGTAAGGCGACTGCAGAGGATGTACCATACATTTCAAGAATTACAAGAAAGGATTTTGAAAGTTTTCAACCCAAAATTATAAATCCTTGAGGAGATAAAAATATATTTAACCTGATTTAAAGATCATGAACTGTATGCATGGCATCAAACATTACAGGTACCCCATAACATGTACAGCATTTATACTTTTGTAGAACTGTTAAAAATAAATAAATACTGAAAATAAAGAAAAAAGAGAAAGGAAGAAAAAGCATGTGAGAAGCAGATCAGCCTTCTCCTTTACACTAAGCCTCTAGATCCAAAATACCTTGAGCTAGGATTGGAAGAGGGGTGCAAGGAGAAGGGCTTAGATGGGCTCTGTGATGGGACTGATAAGGGGAGCAATTTTAAACACCGAAATAAAACTATGCTACTAAACAGGAGTGATTAAAAAACTGTGGACTCAGGCCAAACATTTATTAAGCAAAGAGCTATGAGAAAAGGAATAGAGGTTCATACTGATACTTCAGCTCTTGAGACTTGTTACTACTTGGTCCTTTAACTTCTTTCTCTGCATCAATAACTCGGACTCACTCTGGATAGGATTGGGTGGGGGGCGTCATATGTGGCGGAGCTGATTGCTCTAGAAAACCACTTCAAGCTAATTTGAGCAACACATGGAGATTTATTGAAAGGGCCCCTGGGTATCTCACAGACCCCAAGGGAAAGAACTGAGCTGGGTTTCACGGGGCCTGGAAAATCCTTGGAAAATCTCAGTTTCCTTTGCTTCTCTCTTCAGTCTCAATGTGGGGAGAACGGCCCATGGGCCAATCTCATTAATTTTTTCACCAAAATTGGGCAGGGGAGATGCTGGCTTCAGGTTTCATCATCATCCACGGGCAGAACGCTCAGCTCCTGCCCGGGTGTGACTGTGGCATCAGGAAGCGCTTGCCAAGTGAGCGAGAGTGGGCTGCACTTGCGGGGCTGCTGGAGAGAAACCCTGAGAACCCAGAGGGTGTGAGCTAGACTTCTGCCTCTGAGTCAGGGAGGAAACCGGGTGGGCGACCCACGCGATGGGGACTCTGGTCTGGGCGTGGCGCCCCGGGGCAGGGTCTCGGTCTTATTAACGGCCCACTTCCCAGGTCCCTCGCTAGATCCAGGCGAGATGGGCAAGTACACGATCCGCGTCGCCACGGGGAGCTCGCTCTTGGCGGGCTCCAGCAACTGCGTGCAGCTGTGGCTGGTGGGCGAGCACGGGGAGGCGGACCTCGGGAAGCTGCTGCCGCCGCTGCCTGGCAAAGTCAGTGCGGGTCGGGGCCGGGACTTGAGGGCGCAGGGGAGCGGAGTCTCCGCAGGAGAGGGGCTGGGTGGGGTGGGGGAGATGAGGTCCGAAGGGTGCCTGATAGGAAAGCGGGAAGCGGAGGAAGGAGCACCCAGCTGCTTGGGTGCAAGGAGGGATGCACCAGCTCAGCTGGGGCGCGCTGCGGGGCTCCAGACCTGATTGGAGGCCTAGGATGCTGGTGTCCCGCAAAGCGGCTCTTCCCGCCCTCTGGCCGCGTCCCTCCCGAGTGGCTCCGAGGGCCAAGCGGCCCAAGCTTCTCTGGAGGTCCAGGGAGCCCTCTGCTTGTCTCTGAACTGCGCTCTGTCCCGCAGGAGACCGAGTTGAATATCGAGGTCCCTTTGTACCTGGGGCGCCTCCTGCTGGTGAAGCTACGCAAACACAAACTCCTGCTGGATTCTGACTGGTTCTGCAAGTGGATCACGGTTCAGGGCCCAGGGACCCAGGGCGAGGCCTTTTTCCCCTGCTACCGCTGGGTGCAGGGCGACGGGATTATCTGCCTGCCAGAGGGCACTGGTGCGGCGCTAGGGAACGGGGTGCGGCTGCAGGAAGCAGCGGTCGGTCGGGGAGATGCTATGACAAACACTAAATGGGACAGATGGCGGGGTGGGGTGGGGGAGAAGTGAAAGGGTGGGACGAGGAGGAGGGCAGGCAGAGAGGCCGGGAGGGGCAGTCCGGGGAAGACTCCAGCCCTTTTCCTCTCCCCCAGCCCTGACCGTGAGTGATGACCCCCAGAACTTGTTCAAGACACAGCGGGAGCAGGAGGTGGAGGCTAGAAAGACGGTGTACCGGTGAGTGGAGAAAGCCTGGATCCCCCACAGATCCCCAAATCTGGCGCCCCACTCACTCCGCACTGCGTGTTCTTCCTCAGGTGGGGCTCCTGGAAGGATGGATTAATCCTGCCTATAGCAGGGAGTTCGAGGCAGGACCTTCCTAGGGACCAGCGGTTCCTGGAGGATAAGGATTTAGACTTCAACTTCTCCCTGGCAAAAGGGTGAGTGCCACGTTGAGGTCGGACACTTTCCTCCTAGGCTGCAGGTGGGATCTTCCTTGATTTTTGCACACTTTCCTTTTTGTACAGGTTGAAGGATTTGGCTATTAAGGGGACATTGGAGCTTGCAATTTGTGTAAAAAGACTGGAAGATTTTAAAAAAGTATTGGTTAAAGAGACTCCTCTGGCTGGTCAGTTACCACAACCTCCCAAAACCTGTATACGGAATTCCAACCTAGAGATCTGGAAGAAGAGGGAGGGAGAGTAGGAGATGTAAGTCAATGGGATGAAGAGCTCAGAGCTCACAGTGTGTCCTCAGCTCATGTCCTCGTGTCCTCAGCACGGGTCTTGGATTGCTGGAAGGATGATGCCCTCTTTGGATACCAGTTCCTCAACGGTGCAAACCCCATGCTTGTGAGGCGCTCTAAGAGCCTCCCAGCTCGGCTGCTGCTGTCCCCAGGGATGGAAGACCTGCAGACCCAGCTGGAGAAAGAGCTCCAGGTGCTGTGC